ATCACTGCACACCCATTCTTACCACCCCGACTCCAAAATGATGTATCATTTTATCCCACTAGAAAGCACAATTAAAAATAAGTATTTTTTAGAGTGAGCAATTTGAGGCAGGAACAATGTCTTGTTCATACAGATCTTACCCTCATTATCTGGTACACAACCTTCTACTAATATTTATTCAATACATTTCTGTTTAAAAATGAATAAATTTATTCATTCAACTATGTGCTAGGTACTGTTCTAGAAAGTGGGAATACAGCAAAGAACAAAAAAAGTGGGTGAATTTATATTCTAATCATGGGTGGAAAATATTAAACTATAGAAGCGAGTTCCTGAAACAGTGCCTGACACACAGTAGAGAGCTCTCAAAATATCTAAATAATGAATGCATGGACAGTATATCAAACAGAAGTAAGTTCTAAAGAAGAAAACAAAGCAGGAAGGGAAACAAGAAAGGCAGAGGGTAGAGATGGTTTTTATTCTTAATAAGACGGCCAAGGAAAGCTTCACAGATTAGGTGACAGTTGAGCAGAAACCTGAAGGAGGCAAGGGAAGAGGCCATATGACATCTGGAAGAAGTGTTCCAGAAAAAAAAACTACAATGGTCCCAAGGCTTGGCATGTTGGAGCAACTGCAGAGACCAGGGTGGCCAGAGCAGAAGGGGAGAGTGGTAGAAGACGAAGTCAGAGCAGCTGGGAGAGGTGATACTGAAGATCCCATGCAGCCCTGTAGATCACTTTAAGGACTTTAGTGTTTATTCTGGGTGGGACTCAGTGGACAGTATTCAGCAGAGGAGTGGCACGATTTGATATACACTTAACAAAATTACTCTGGTCACTGTTAAGATTAGACTGGGGGACCAAGAGCAAAAGGAGGAAGACATGTTCCAACAGTAATAAGGAAGGGGTGAGAAGTGTTCAAACTTTGGATGTATTTTAAGGTAAAGCTCACAGGACCTGCTGGTGGATTGGATGATGAAAGAAAGAAAAAAACAGAGTCAAGAGGGACTTCCCTCATGGTCCAGTAGTGAAGACACCATGATTCCACTGCAGGGGTATGGGTTCAATCCCTGGTTGGGGAACTAAGATCCTGAATGCCATGCGACACAGCTCCCCAAAAAAGGGGGGGGGAGAGTAGAGTCAAGGAAGAGTCCTCTATAAAACTGAAACTGAGGTGGGGGGAAACTGCCATAGGTACAGGTTTGAGAGAAGTTCCAGGGTTAATGTTTTGAATATGTTAAGTTCAAGAAGCTATTATCCTGTAGGCAGCTGACATTAGACTCTTTGAGTTCACAGGAAGACATTCAGGCTAGTAATAAATACTTTCTAATTCTTAAGGTATAAATGGTATTTAAATTCCTAAAAGAAAGAACCTAGGAAACGAGTGTACACAGAGAAGGGATCCAAGGAGTGATCTGAGTACTCCATCATTGGAGGCTGAGGAGATGAGAAAGAAATCAGCCAAAAAGAGTATGTGGGGCGCATGGGGGGGGGGGGGGGTTGTTGCACAGGAATGTGAGAAAAAGGGGTTAGAGAGGTAGAAAGAGAACCAAGGGAGTGGCATCCTAAAAGCAAAATGAAACTAGTGAGGAAGGAGTGTCAAATACTACTGAGAGATTAAGATAACTGAGAAATGACCACAAACATACATACTATATTCTAAGCACTCTTCTCTAAACAACACATATAGTGATATAGTGAAGTTGCTCAGTTGTGTCCGACTCTTTTCGACCCCATGGATGGTAGCCTACCAGGCCCCGTGGTCTATGGGATTTTCCAGGCAAGAATACTGGAGTGGGCTGACATTTCGTTCTCCAGGGGATCTTCCCAACCCAGGGATCGAACCCGGGTCTCCTGCATTGCAGACAGACGCTTTACCGCCTGAGCCACGAGGGAAGCCCAAACCACACATAACACGTTTTTTTTCTTTTAATCTATGTTAAATCCCAGTATTGCCCAATGGATTCACATAAGGTTTCTGTTTAATGCAGCTTTATTCACATCTCAAAAAACAAAATCAATGCTCTTAGTATGGACACCACACACTTTACACAGTGAATAATGGTGAATAAATGTTTTATCTGGTGAAGTAACTGTCTCTCTGAAACAATGTCATTAAACCAAGTCTTGCTTGTGCTCAGCAGGTATTATCAGAGAAATAAGCTACTTAAACTTGTTTTGTTTTGCTCTAAGTAGCAACTATTCCTGAACTCGTTTCTCTACTTTCTAACCAAACATCCTAAGCAACTAAACAAAGACCCCCCCTTTAAAAACAAAAGAAAAAAAAAATAAAAACAAAACAGAAATCCAAAAGTTGGATGAGAAAGGGATATGCTGTCCATTGTAGCCGCTTTCTTTTACTGTACAAAGGGTTAATCATTATTTGCGAATTCAAAAGTTCTGCTTTACCTACATTTTGCCCTTAAAATCTCTAGATAGGAAATGTGATTTCTAGTGTCTTCATCTTAAAAGAGAATTATTGCTACAAAGTAAGAATTTTTAGCTGTGCTCTAGTGAACATAGACAAGTCTCAATATCTACATTTCTGAAATAGCAGAACAATAATCACCACAAACTGAATCATGCAAGTATCTTTCATGTCTCCATGAAATGGTTACAACTTCTGCATGGACTGAGCTCTATGCCTTTGGGCTCTTGCTCCCTCTGCCTGGAATACCATTCCCTACCTTTCACTATGCAATTTACCAACTTGGGACTCAGAGTGAATGACAACTTCTCCAAGCTGCCTTCCCAGATTCCCTCTCCAAGGCTTGAATCAAGGGCCCTCCTCTGAACCCTTAACACCATAGCTTGGTACGCACCAAAGCTTCCTCATATCCCAATACTTTTAAAACATTACACTGTAAATCTGTTTACTCGTCTAACTCTTCAAACCATAAACATCCTGAAGGCAGGGACAATATCTCATTCATTTTTATAGCCTCAGTGTTTGGGACATATCAAGCGATCGGTAAGTATTTACCTAATGAAAGAACATGAAATTTTACCTCAAATACGTTATATGATTTTGTAGCACATTTCCTTAGTAAACCAGGTGAACTGAGGCTAATATTAAAATTATTGGCATCTATATGATGCAGCAATCCTACTCCTGGGCATATATCTGGACAAAAGTGTAATTTGAAAAGATACATACATCCCTAACTTCTCAGCAGTACTATTCACAATAGTCAAAACATGGAATCAACCTAAATGTCCATTGATAGCTGAATGGATAAAGAACAAGTGGTACACATATACAATGGGATATTACTCAGCCATAAAGCAGAATGAAATAATGCCATTTGCAACAACATGGATGGACTTGAGAGATTATCATACAAGTGAAGTAAGTCAGAAGGAGAAACACAAACACAATATGATATCACTTATAGGTAGAATTTAAAATATGACATTTAAAAATAAACCTATCTACAAAATAGAAACAGACTCACAGACACAGAAGACAGACTTGTGGTTGTCAAGAGGGAGGCAGGGTAGGGAAGAGATGAATTAAAGAGTTTGGGGTTAGCAGATGCAAGCTATTGTATACAGAATGGATAAACAACAAGGTCCTACAATATAGCACAGGGAACTATATTCAATATCCTGTGATAAACCATAATAGAAAATAAGAAAGAAAGAATATATATATAAAAGTTTCTTACTGACAGCATTGTAAATCAACTATATTTCAATAAAATAATATAAAATATAAAATTACCGGCATCTAATCACATTCCCAACTGATAGCAGAAACAAAGTAACTTCCCCTACCTGACACTGGAAATAGAGAATAAGAAAAGATAGGGGCTGCTCAGTATCAACTCAGGAAAAGTTATACTAGCTGCTCTTCCTTGACTTTTCCCATACCACAGGAGTGGTTAACAGACCTCTGGATCACTCTTCTCACCTCCTTTCCACTGATTCTGTATCCTTCTCTCTGCCTTCTCTCTCTATTCTTTTCTCTCTCCTTCTACCTTTTTTTCCTTCCTTGTATTCTACACTTTGTATTTGCATTCGTTCTCATTTCCCTTTAACTTTTCTCTGCACTCTGTTCTCCCGGCCACATTTCGGTTAGAGTGGCCCTGGGGAATCCTTGGGCAATGCTGTGTCCAACTGGAAGAACTTAGGCCAATTCTGGTCACTTCTGTAAAGCATACCAACAGATTTCTCCTATTTCTGAGAAAACCAAGTAGTGATACCCTAAAGCCAATGGAGGATTACCGGCATATGAGGTCAAACTGTTATTACCCACAGTGGGTAAGACAAGTTTCTAAACTGCATTGTATAGTATCCTGAAAAGTAATAGGGGAAAGACCCTCTTAATTTACAGTAATTTTAAATAAAAGAGAAATGGAAAGCTAAATATGAAGGAGAAAGAGAAAAAGAAGACATGTTTTGGGGGAAAATGCTGTGTGTTGACAGGGCAAATATTAAAAGCTACAGAATAGCTGCTGGGCCAGGAAGGTTGGGGAGAGGGAAAAAGAAAAAGTGGTCCCTGCCCCAAGGGAACTTAAGTCTTATTCCCACCATTTCCCAAATCCACAAATGTAAACATTAGAGAACCAGAGAGAGGAGAGTCTCTTGATCCAAAAGTGTCAGGAACCTAACATAAACGAATTGGATGTTCTGGGACAGAAAAATAATGACTGGATAGAAAACATTTGAATTTTAGACAAAGTTATCCCATGTGTAAAAGTCAGTGACACAGTATGAGAAGCCAAGAAAAGGAACAATTCACAATTAGGAGTCAAGAGCCCCAGCTGAGGTCCTAACAAGCTGTGTAACCTTGGGCAAGTCGCTTGACTACTCTGATCCAAAGACCCAAAGAAAGATGGGTCTTTCACTGACAAAACTGACTGTGATGACTAATTAACATCTTGAAAAGTTTTATATAACATATCTACGTGAGGTCAAAGGAAGCAAAAATTCTACGTTTCAATTTCTAAAGTGAAAGCCTGACTCACCTTCCCAACCTTGTTAAACCCTTTAACGAACCTGAAAGAGTCATGTGAGGCTCCAGGGGTGGGGTGGTGACTATTTAGTCAGTTACTCTGTATCTCAGTGGCTTCATCTGTAAAATGGGAGGTGTGGAATTCACTCACATATCCACAAGATAGTGCAGGTCTGAGGAAGGAAGTGGAGAATTTACTGTACATGAGTAAAACATTTACACAACCCTCCCTCCCAGGGATAAATAACTCAGATCATCTGAACAGAATCAGAAGGGGCCTTAGAGAGCATTTACTCTCCTGTTTTACAGATGGGAAAACTGAGGCTCAGATAAATGAACTTGACTGTAGAAGTCTAAAAGCTAGCCTGTGGCAGAGCTGGAGCTAGGGGTCAGAGCCACCAATTCCCAAATCCAATGCCCTCTTTGCCTGATCTCAGGATCACCCAAAACACCTGAGGCCCTTAAAACACATTACCAACAGCAAGACACACTACAATTTCATCAACAGCTAAATGTGGGCTACCCAAGGGAAGGGCTATAAGACTCTGAAGAGGTCGGTGCTGAGAGCTGGGAAAGGGAAGGCTTTGTTGGGAAGGTGAGTAAAGTCCCAGACATAAAGAGATTAAAGAAATCTGGAAGAAAAGGCTTATGACTTCCCTGGTGGCTCAGACGGTAAAGCACCTGCCTACAATGCAGGAGACCCGGGTTCAACCCCTGAGTTGGAAAGATCTCCTGGAGGAGAAAATGGCAACCAACTCCAGTACTCTTGTCTCGAAAATCCCATGGACGGAGGAACCTGGGAGGCTACAGTCCATGGGGTCACAGAGTCGGACAGGACTGAGCGACTTCACTAGGCAGTCTTGGGAAGAAAGACCAGTGGATAAAATTTCTTTAGGAAAAAGAAACAGGTGGCAGACACCAGAATGCTTTGAATCAGGTTAATTTTTTTTTTAGGATAATTCTTGATTATAATTACTTTGTAAATTGTAATTTACTCCTTTTGTTGTCTAAGTTTTAACAAGGTTTTCATCTCTTTAGTTCGACATGCATCTCCTTCTTTTAAAAGTAGAGAACAGAAATTACCAGAGTACACTACACGTAGTATGACTAGGTAGTTTTTGCAAATTTTTTTTCTTTATATAAATGTCTGTATATGTTTCGGTTATTATGTAAAACATATTTTTCATAGTAGTTTGCTTTTAAAAATGTGAGAACCACTGAAAGAATGAACAAAATAAAAGTTCAAATAGTGCCCAGCACACAGTAAGCACTTAGTGCTATAACTGTCATTGTTACTGTTATGTACCTATCTATTAAATTTGACTGTGGGGCTATCTAAAGTAATATGAAGGCCCTTCGGAGAGTCTAATACACAAGACTGGTGTAAGTGAAAAGCAGCAAAAAGCCTTCTCTCCACCCATACAACACAGCCCTATTTAGGCACATATCTGTTGCTTGGTCCACAAGTTATTTGTTACAATGAACTGAAAAGTCCACAGACAGCGATTTATCTAACACTGTCACGCTCAGTCAATATCTGGGAAGAAATGGAGGCCTGGCGCCAGAGTTAAGTTTATTTATTTTCACCTGGGTGGAGGTTGGGGTGGAGAAGGGGGAAATCATGCCCATGTGTAGCTGAAGGAAGCAAATGAGTCATACAGAGAAACTGTTTGCTCCCACAGAGCCAGGTAAATTCAAATGTGCCAGAGACCAGGCCGGACTGACAGATACTTGAGCCTTCATGCAGGGCTGAATCACTTCCTTCTCTCTAGTCTCATCCAGACACATTTAAAAAAGAAAAGGCATCTGAGCCCGACAGGTATAGCTCACACCAGGAAAAACTGGGAATTCCCAAACAGATACAAACAGGGGATGATTACGCATCAAGAAGTTACCTGAGGGGCTCCTTTAAATGACAAGCTCACCTAAACGTCCAAATAGTATTTAAATTCTAAAACCCTGACTTAGAGAAAAATTTGAAAAATGTGCTCACCAATAAATGTATCAGAAAGTCTGGAATCCATCCTGGACACTGTGTGACCTTCAATTAGTCACTTCATCTCTCTTGGCCTAAATGAATTCATCTGTTAAAAAGAGAGAGAACACGTACTTCAGAAAATCATCGTAAAAATTAAAGACAGTATGCAGTAAAACGGTTAGCCGAGGATCTAGCACTGGTAAATACACAAGAAATGTCCGTCCCTCCTAGTCTACAAGTTAACAGTTGAGGTAAACTGAGGTTCACTGGCCAAGCTGGCCTATGAAAAAGGTCATTAGGTATCTTACACGCTTCATGGAAATTGCTTTTATAAAAAAGAAACTTTATAATACCATTTATTTATCTCTCCAGGACAACAGCCTATCTTATAAGTCTAGGAAAGCAGTAATTTCTCATCTCATTCCTTTATGATTGCTAAATGTTTTGGTACTGCGTCCCCACTTATCCATTCATTATTAAACATAACGAGCTAGGGACTGGATATGATGCCTACTTTCTACAATTAATCGCGGCCCTGTTGCAAATTAATGAGAGAAATGTATTAAAATTCCCCCGCTGATGGAACTTCCCTGGTGGTCCAGTGGCTAAGACTCTGTGCTCATAATGCAGAGGGCCCCCGGTTCCAGCCCTGGTCAGGGAAATAGGAGTCCACATGATGCAACTACAAGGTCCTGTATGCTGCAATGAAGACTGACGATCCTACATGGCGCAATTAAGACCTGGCGCGGCCAAATAAATATTAAAAAACAAAAAAAAATTCCCCGCTGAGGTTGGGACCAGCCTACGCGGTTTCAACCCACTGTGGTCACAGCACTCGCTGCGCGGAGAAGGCCCCATACCGTGGGTGGGCTGGGAGAGGGGCGCATTCTAAAGTTTTCAGGCCGACCCCAATTTCTCGTTGGGACGAATCCAGGACACGTGTCGCCATTTTGTGTTCAGCAAATATGGCGGCCACCCCCACAGGGAAGGGGAGGGGGACTGAGGAACCGCCACGTTAGCCGCTTTCCCTAAGGGATCCTAAAGCACGCCGCGCACTCGGCCTGTTCTGTCTGGCTCAAGCGAAGGAAAAGGGAACGGGCAGAAATCACAACTGGCGCACCAACGGCCCCAGCGACCTTTCCTTAGCGGGAGGGCCGCTCGGCTCCACACCCTCAGGAAAGGTCCTCCAAGATGGCGGGCCCAGTTGGGGGCCGCCCCCGGACAGCGCGGGCGCGATGGCTGCGCTGAGCGGGGAAAGGGCCGAAAGGCAGCAGCGGGACCGTAACCCACGCGGGGGAAACCGCAGGAACCCCCTGAGAGCCCGGATAAATGCACGCCATTGTCTTAAACGTGTGACGAGGCGGCAGCGACTAAAACGACACCAGCGTAGGAGGTGGGGTTTCTGCGGGCTTAACGAAGAGTTGCAAAATGCAGACAAAGCATTATGTAAATGGACGCCATTCTCTTTATGGCCCCGTTTCTAGCACTTCCCAGAAACGATCAGCATAGCCGCGACTCTGATGGCGGCGGCGCGAGATAGGTTTTGGTCTTTCTCCCTACCGGCCGCCGCCACAGGGCCGGGGCGGGGGTGGGGACTGGCGCGAGGCGCCCGGACGCTGAGGACGAAGGGGCCCCACGTGCCCGCCCGAGCGGGCGCCCGCCCCAGAGGCCTCGTCTCGCCTCCCCTCCCCCCCGGAAGACCGCGGCTTCCCCTCCCGTCCTCCCCACACCCTTGCGCATGCGCTCTGGTCTCCTCACGCGCACGTTTTAAACCCGCGGCGTCCTAGCAGCCGCCTGCAGTTACGGCCAGGGCTGCCCGTGTCGCTCCGCACTCAAACCGCATTTGTACGGCGGGAAAATAATGTGTCGCTCTCAAGCACAACACTGCCATTTCCAAACGTTTGCCGGCGCCTTGTTGGGGTTAATAAAATACATGTTCGTCTTAAAATTTTGCCGGAATCACAGCTTCTGCCCACCGGGGCTTTATTTCCAATGCTAGCCTATTAAGACGGTTTTTAAAAAACCACTCTATTGGGGTTGGCGCAATCTTGTGACCTAAAAAGTATGGGTCCTCATTTTTTTTTCAAGGGGTCCTGCGCAGCAAGCACTTCCGGGGTCAGAGGGTACGCGGGGTTGAAAGCGGGCTTCCCGCCCCGCCCAGACCGCCGAGGCTGCCGCCGGAGTCGCCACCGCCGCGCCCTCGCCCACCCGCCCTGCCGCGGCCTCCCGCCCGCGCCCGCTCGCTCCCGCGGCCCTCGCTCGCCTCGCGCCGGCAGTTTTGGGCCTACACCTCCCCTCCCCCCGCCAGCCACCAAAGACTTGACCACGTAACGAGCCCAACTCCCCCGAACGCCGCCCGCCGCTCGCCATGGATGCCGGTGTGACTGAAAGTGGACTAAATGTGACTCTCACCATTCGGCTGCTTATGCACGGAAAGGAAGTAGGAAGCATCATTGGGAAGAAAGGGGAGTCGGTTAAGAGGATCCGCGAGGAGAGTGGCGCGCGGATCAACATCTCGGAGGGGAATTGCCCGGAGAGAATCATCACTCTGACCGGCCCCACCAATGCCATCTTTAAGGCCTTCGCTATGATCATCGACAAGCTGGAAGAAGATATCAACAGCTCCATGACCAACAGCACGGCGGCCAGCAGGCCCCCGGTCACCCTGAGGCTGGTGGTGCCGGCCACCCAGTGCGGCTCCCTGATTGGGAAAGGCGGGTGTAAGATCAAAGAGATCCGCGAGAGTACCGGGGCCCAGGTCCAGGTGGCGGGGGATATGCTGCCCAACTCCACCGAGCGGGCCATCACCATTGCTGGCGTGCCGCAGTCTGTCACCGAGTGTGTCAAGCAGATCTGCCTGGTCATGCTGGAGACGCTCTCCCAGTCTCCGCAAGGGAGAGTCATGACCATTCCGTACCAGCCCATGCCGGCCAGCTCTCCAGTCATCTGCGCGGGCGGCCAAGATCGGTGCAGCGACGCTGCGGGCTACCCCCATGCCACCCATGACCTGGAGGGACCACCTCTAGATGCCTACTCGATTCAAGGACAACACACCATTTCTCCGCTCGATCTGGCCAAGCTGAACCAGGTGGCAAGACAACAGTCTCACTTTGCCATGATGCACGGCGGGACCGGATTCGCCGGAATTGACTCCAGCTCTCCAGAGGTGAAAGGCTATTGGGCAAGTTTGGATGCATCTACTCAAACCACCCATGAACTCACCATTCCAAATAACTTAATTGGCTGCATAATCGGGCGCCAAGGCGCCAACATTAATGAGATCCGCCAGATGTCCGGGGCCCAGATCAAAATTGCCAACCCAGTGGAAGGCTCTTCTGGTAGGCAGGTTACTATCACTGGTTCTGCTGCCAGTATTAGTCTGGCCCAATATCTAATCAATGCCAGGCTTTCTTCTGAGAAGGGCATGGGGTGCAGCTAGAACAGTGTAGGTTCTCTCATAACCCTTTCTGCTGTTTTCCCATGATCCAACTGTGTAATTTCTGGTCAGTGATTCCAGGTTTTAAATAATTTGTAAGTGTTCAGTTTCTCCACAACTTTATCATCCGCTAAGAATTTAAAAATCACATTCTCTGTTCAGCTGTTAATGCTGGGATCCATATTTAGTTTTATAAGCTTTTCCCTGTTTTTAGTTTTGTTTTGGGTTTTTGGCTCATGAATTTTATTTCTGTTTGTCGATAAGAAATGTAAGAGTGGAATGTTAATAAATTTCAGTTTAGTTCTGTAATGTCAAGAATTTAAGAATTAAAAAATGGATTGGTTAAAAAATGCTTCATATTTGAAAAAGCTGGGAACTGCTATCTTAAACTCTTTGTTGGTGCCTTTTTTTTCCTCCCCTTTTAGCGTTAGGCCTTTGTAGGAAGAAAGGTGGGCCCGTTCCTGGTATTTTCTCCAGCCCTTTTCATCTTATTGGTAAGATTCCATTCCCTCTCGTCCCAACAAAGGAACCCGGCAGGCTGGGCCTGCTTTGGGGTGTTTGCAGAGATGGAAGGCTCTCTTGGAGAGTGACATCCCTCCAGCTAGGTTCCAGAGAGAGGCCTCTGCCCATTTCTCTGGTAGAAAAAAATGAGGATTTTCTCAGATTGGAAGAGTATGCCCATTCTGTAGGACCTCTGATGAATGGTAGTGTGTCCTCTAGTCCAACCGGCCCCAGCCCCACCCCCAATCCCATGTGCAAAACTCTTAGCCAGGAACAAAAAAATGTTCTGAGGTGGGAGGAGCTTGGGGGGCCCAGAGAAGAGGTGGGGGAGGGAAGGGCTGGCCTGGGGGTGAAGGGAGGGGCTGAGGTGGAGGGAAGGGAAGGGGGCTAGGGTGGGTCTAAGGGCATGGGAGAGGGTAGGTGCTGCAGGGTGGTGGTAGGCATAGAGGGCAGCAGGACTGAAGGGGGATGGTACCAGCGGGGCGCACGTGTCGAACATAGCACCTGTGGCAAGCAGCCTGTCAGGATGTTACTACACCTGCCAAGTGGCGTATCCAGAAACAAAGGAGACCCAGCTAATAATTCTTCAACTGTGTGCAATGTTTAGAGAAGTCATTGTACCAGGAAATAATTCTATCTAAATGGGGCAGTCCACACTGGCAGGAATGTAGGCTGATCCGTTGACAACCGCCGAAGAATGACCTCAATGTTAAAAATGCAGATTCCTGGGTCCCACCCCAAATCTCATCAGAAGACCGCATTTTTAACAAGACTCCGAAAGGTTCAGAGTTAGTGCCGCTAATTCTCTTCACCGGTGGAGAAGGAAGATTTTGCTGTAAAGGCCTAGCAGCCTCATGTCAGCCAGTAGTTCTAGGCTGAACCTGATGAGAGGAGGAAATTTTTCTACTATTAGGCAAAAACACACAAGAAACAGCAGATTAGGAAAATACAATTAGGTGCCAAAGTGTGTAGTTCAAACCAGGCAATGTGGGAGATCACAGAGAAATCCCTGTGGGAGGGGAGTGTTAGCCACCTTAAAGCCTGTTGAGGTTTCTTCTCTGCAGGGCATCTTTTATCGGAGGTACAGACCTGGTTCCCAGGGCCCCTGGAGGTAAGATTGGGGTCTATTATGTACTTCATATCTACTGTGAAGTCAGGCAGGTGGTCACAAGGAGCACAAATCCTGGAGTCAAACCTGAATTTAAATTTGCACTCTGCCACTGTGGCCATGGGTGAATTACTTAAGCTCTGTATAAGACGGAGCTGTTGAAATTAGCATCTCCTGGGTTTGGGGGTGGGGGGAGGGTGGGGAAAGCATGTGTGAAACAGAACAGTGCTTACAAGACAGTAAACTTCACTATAGATTGTGAAAAGCCAAAGGCCCATTTCTGCCCACAATTTCTTTGGGCAAAGAAATATTGAAAAAAAGCAATGTTTACTAAGTGATAAACAGAGAAGGTAGTTGTCTTGGGCCAGGATAAGTTAGGGAGACCCTAGCAAAGACCCAGAAATGGGTTCAATGTCTTCTAGAAATAATGAGCTCTTGTCTGTGTAGAATACGAGGGGATAATTATGTTAGACCCTGAAACACCAAGCTAAATGGTTTGTAAGTTGTCCCTGAAACTTGCTGGGGGAATGGTTCCAATGCCCTTTAAAAAGTAGGCCTCATTTTCCTCAAACCATCCTTCCCACTGCTTCAAAGGCGAAGCTGACAGTAATTTGTAGAATGATTTAGGTAGCAAGAATGGATAGGATAGAAAGACTTTCAGCTTAGAATAAAGGCAAGAACAGCAGTAAGAAAAATGCCTCAGGTAAGCAGGTTCTAATATTGGTAGGGAAGTAGTTATCAATAGAAATTCATATAGAAGGGGCTGCCAATGCAAGAGATATTGAAACTGAGGAGGCAAGAAAAAA